TAAAAAAATCACGTGATGCACCGCATGAAAATTATCAAAAATGGCTAGCAGGGGTTGGCGGGGGTTGGCGGGGGCGCTACTGGCCCCCCGCACACCATGGCGGGCAGTGGGCGCATTATCACGTGACTTTTGGGGCACCTTTTGTGCACCATTCGGCATGATTTCGGAGGTGTTGCTTGATCCATTGCATGCTGTGGCAGACAATGGGCGCATAATCACGTGATTTTCCGCCCAAAAAAATGGAAGCCTTCCCCAAATCATCCTGGTATCATTTCTATCGGTAAATACACTAGTTAAGCATGAATTTGAGCTTAGAAAGCCCAAAATGCACCCTGCACAATGGGACTGGTGATGCACTTGATCCCATCATTTGGCGGGGTCTGCTGCAGGGGGTGCCACGGGGGGTGCTGCGGGGGGTGCTGCGGGGGGTGCCGCAGGGGGTGCCACAAGGGGTGCCGCAGGGGGTGCCGCAGGGCCCGCTGTGGGGTCAACCACAGGAGCAGGGGTAGGGGTGCATTGCATCATATTTTGATCTATCTATTCTCGCTGTGGTCATAGCATGCAGCATAATTATCCTTCATTTTGCCAGGAGTTTGGAGGCTGTGTCTGGGGTTGGTCTGCAGCTACAGCCATGTGACTCCCTGATGCTTTGGCAGGGGCTGGGATATCAAAACTGTGCAATATTGTCTGCATAATCCAGGCATGTAGGGTTAAAAAGAAAGTGTGATTTGTTCATTTTTTGGCTGGCAGGGTAGGTGGGCTGACATCATGGGCTGCATCGGGTCCACTGTCAACTCATTGATTGTTTCGTCTGCTCATTCTATACACATGCCCATTGGTAAACTGATCATGCTGTAGGCACAGTCTAATCTTACCCAGTGGATAATACCACACGTTAATTATGCACCTAATGTCACACTTCCTGTCTGGGACTCATTGAAGTTCATCTGTTCTGTGTTACTTTACAAGCAGTTTGCTTTAGTTGCAACATGAACAGATGTAATAGAGTGGATTTGACATGCCCTGAATTGATTCCTAGGTGGAATATGAGACAATGGATTCACCAGCAAGTTGCCTCACAATAGTCAGAGATTGGTAATATTTGAATTTCAAATTTCATATACAACACTCTGTGCACTCAGAGCTCGTATATTTGCAAGATAGACTGTAGAGACATAGATGGTTACTTTTCCTACCTCTGGGGCTGCACACATCCTTGCCATGACCCACTGCCTGCATCCTGCTGGTACCCCCATTGGCACCCCCGCCGGCACCCCTGTTGGCACCCCCGCCGGCACCCCCGCCGGCACCCCCGCCGGCACCCCCGCCAGTCTAGCACCCCCCGCTGCACCGGTGCCTTGTCCCCGTGATTTTCTTATATGTAAGATTATGTAAACTGACAGCTCGGAACACGTCAAGTCACTAGCCAATCAGAACCTGTATAAACGTTGTACCTAAGTGTTTACTGCTCTTCTAACACTGTTCCTACAGTTATGCAGCTGAAAACCATCGGAATAAGGTCTCCTTCTGCTATTCTTATTGAATATGTAGATACTTCATATCATTTGTCCACCTAAAATTCGAAACATGAAAAGAGTTCACCATTGCTCAAGGTTCCTATGTAGACAATGGTTCAACATGGTTCACTTTGGGTATGGCAAAAAATATTTTTTCTACACACAAGCAATTCAATACAGCTGAATGATATACTCTTTGGCAGTGTCTGAAACAAATTCTGAGAGCCCTGGACCCTGGAACTATTCAAAAACTTGAAATGAGTCCGAAAAATAGGGTCTTGATAAACATGAGATATGGGCTGGTTTGAAGAGACATGGGCCACCGGTCATGTTGAATATAGTATTTTACAATGTTTCGGTGCCCTACCTCTCATCGCATGGCCTCATTTCCCACTAAAAAGGGTGCATACACACTCAAGCTCATAAAATCAATTGTCACCCAGAAACAAGAGCAGTGAAGTTGTTTCACTGGGATTGGGTAAAGGTTACCTAGAAGTCACTTGGGTTGCAGTACAGAAGCTTTGGAAAGTGATTTTGTAGTTGATCCACATTTGGTAGGCTGGCAGATGCTTGTGCACCCCCACGGCACCCCCCGTGGCACCCCCCGCGGCACCCCCTGTGGTTGACCCCCCCCCCCCCAACCCCTGCAAGGATTTAATTGACAAATGTCCTGCTCAATCCATTGTAAGAGTCTACAGTATTATTGGATTCAGTAAAGGGCCCAAATGGTGTGTAGACAAGAAGTATGAAATCCGGAAATCAACAATTATGACACCTCCACGGAATATGCTGCAAATGGAGAGAAAAATTTGAGTGCAGACAGACTACCTGAAGCAAACAGACAAAGAAAAGAAACATTAGCCATTTCTTGTTGATGATGTTGGCTGTCCCTGGAGCATGTACTTGGGAGATTTGCCTAACAAATCAAGTTGCACATTTTTCAAATTTTTAGTTTGACCTGACAGCTTGAGCAGACCATGCTAAAATGAACCAAGTCATATATATCAGTGCCCCAAGCCAAGCCAAAAGATTTAGGTAAATTTGCACAGTTTTGATATCCCAGCCCCTGCCAAAGCATCAGGGAGTCACATGGCTGTAGCTGCAGACCAACCCCAGACACAGCCTCCAAACTCCTGGCAAAATGAAGGATAATTATGCTGCATGCTATGACCACAGCGAGAATAGATAGATCAAAATATGATGCAATGCACCCCTACCCCTGCTCCTGTGGTTGACCCCACAGCGGGCCCTGCGGCACCCCCTGCGGCACCCCCCGCAGCACCCCCCGTGGCACCCCCTGCAGCAGACCCCGCCAAATGATGGGATCAAGTGCATCACCAGTCCCATTGTGCAGGGTGCATTTTGGGCTTTCTAAGCTCAAATTCATGCTTAACTAGTGTATTTACCGATAGAAATGATACCAGGATGATTTGGGGAAGGCTTCCATTTTTTTGGGCGGAAAATCACGTGATTATGCGCCCATTGTCTGCCACAGCATGCAATGGATCAAGCAACACCTCCGAAATCATGCCGAATGGTGCACAAAAGGTGCCCCAAAAGTCACGTGATAATGCGCCCACTGCCCGCCATGGTGTGCGGGGGGCCAGTAGCGCCCCCGCCAACCCCCGCCAACCCCTGCTAGCCATTTTTGATAATTTTCATGCGGTGCATCACGTGATTTTTTTACCCCGCCATCAGCCGCCATCCCGCCCATTGGATGTGTCATGTGATTCATTTTTTTTTTCGTGCCCACCTGCCCGCTCCCAATGATAAATCACATGACATGTACAGACCCCCCCCTGCTGACCCCCGCATATGCCCCCGCCCCCAAATGGACCAAATCCCCCCCGCGGGCCCCGCAGGGGGGTACCTGTTAGGTACCCTCAGAGCTACGTCTGAGGGTACCCAGGAGGACCCCCGCGGGGGTGCAACCGGGTGATGGCGGTGGTAACTGAGGTGGGGACTCCAGCGGGTCCCAGCGGGTCCCGCGGCTAATTCATGTAGCCCGTCTGGCATCCAGATCCTTTGAACAGCATTGAGCCGGGATTTAGTGCGGAGTTGCCGAAGCTCGCCCCGAACGAAGAGGGAAACTTCTGACCATTTGAGCCTTTCAATCTGTACGTGTTTGAATGCCATGGCAGGCTGCACGAGAACAAGGAAGAAAACGAGTACTTGGTTGGTTCCTACTGCTCCCTTTGGCCGCGGCTATCTGCGGTGCGACGGCCCGGGCTCGATCTCAGTGAATGACATCCAGTCACCTTGCGGTTCATAGGACTGTCTACTCCTGGTCTTAACTCAGATCTAGGTCCCACTCACACACACACATAGAGTGCTTCTTTCGTAGCAACTGACTCTAACACTAGACCACGAATAGCTTGCTAACCGCTGGCTTCTTGGAACAGTCGGCGACGGGGGTTTGCGACAGTGCATCAACCCTGATGATCACTGATTTTATCAGTGGCACTCGAGTTCTCGGAGGGATCCACCCTCAGCCCTCAGGAAAATGGAACTCCTAGGTTTGACAATCTCTACCGTTCGACGTGGTTGCAATCGTGCCAGGGATTAAGTAACTGAGAGTTCCAAAAAGGGGCGCATCATCGAGCTCGCTCATTTAAGTAGACTGCATCCCCAGAAAGACCGGAGGGAAGATTGTTGCTAGTCTGATCAAGCGGGCAGCGGAGCGCCCACGACACCCGTCAGCCAACGGAAACTCCCGCCCGGGAGCGTCATTAGTACCTCGTTAGGGTCCCATCAGTTTGGTCTTTATCATCTTCCGGAACATCGCGCGTTGGATTCTTTATCATTTCAACGCGGGTAAGTAAGATAGTAATACAGGTCCTCGAGGGATTGCCGAGCCTCGGAGTCATCGCATGTAACCCAGTGCGAGGTGTTTCCGCTGAAAGGACTGGCGGACCGGGGGCGGATCGGTAGGCCCGTTGACTCACGCTATCTGACGCATTTCATATTCCATAATACTCAGGTTGGGTGGTGATTCGAGCATTTGCTTTTGGTCATTTGAAATTGTTTTCCTGGCGTGGAAGTGCCCTGAGCAGTCACGCAATCAGGAAGCGCAGTCTCTCGTTCTCAGGAGCGGGAGATGCGTGATGGATGGATGCACCAGGCGTCCTGCGCGGGATGCTGCTTGAGAGATGAGCCAAAAAGCATTCAATCACGGTTTCTGCTTGTCAGATCGCAGTCAGTCTGTAGGTGTGGCGCGCGTCCGACACTCGTCGGCTGACCCGCAGGTACGGAGCGATCTCCACCGCCACACGTCACACTCGTAGCAACAGACGACCGGCATTCCCCGGCTGGCTTGCTATTCAGGGAGCTTGGGTGGTGAGCACGTGCTGCTGGGCATTTGCCGAATGTCAGGGTTCCTCGCCGCGCAGAGACTTGAATCTTGATGCTGTGTTTATCCATCTATGTGGAAGCTGTCCTAGTCTTTGCCGGTCTCGCCACTAGCCCTCGATCGGGCTTACGTGTGATCGATTCATGATCGACGTCCTGCATTTCCCGACACGAGGCTCCGCAGACGTCGCACCGAGGGCGGCGAGTTGTTGCGTTACCGCTCAACAATCTTCAGATACATCGAGGTACCTGGCGAAGCCTGAAGTCAAGTCTGTGAGACAGGGAGCCGGTAATGTAGGGGATCCCGACACAATTCAGGCGACCCAACGGCTGATTTGCACGGATTTGCGCCCAATTCTCACGAGCGCCGGAGATGCAACCCCATTTAGGTCAAGCCCATGAAGAAGCGAACGCAAATCCGCTTGTCGGACGGCGCCCGAGGAGACAGGCAAGATAGACGATGGCTTTGTGCTAATTTATTGCCGAGCCGCTGCAAATCCCCCGCTGGGAATCCGCGGAGCAGACATTGCCGAAAGGGTACTAATAGCACGTATGGTGCGTGTCGGCCAGAATCCTCGCTCCCCCGGATACGCGTAGACTGACTGACTGCCCCACTCAAATCTTGCTTCGACATCATCGCGCGAATTCTCTTCGTCTGCCTTCGGCTTGACTCGCAAGGCTTCTTCTTCGAGAAAATCCCGGCCTTTATCTTTGACTGGACGCTCCTCCTGGCGTCTACTTAAAGGCCCCGAGAAGTCATAATTAACAGCACATCTGTTCTTCGCCCACAATTACAGCGTCTGCAGTACACTATGGCCCCCACCATTGTCCTCCCCAGCATTCACGAGATGTTTCCCGAACACTTGATGATCGCGCGGCCCGGCCCGCCACCAGCAGCGCCAGCAGCCTCTCGGCCGCACTTCCATCCCTATCTCCCCGCCACCACACCACCGCCGGCTCATGCCTCGACCTCGCAGCGCGCGAGGGTCCGCCTTCCCTCGATACACACGGCCCTTCCACCCACGACCGGCTCTCCCGCGTTCTCATTTGACGTACTCAAAAACGATCCGCGAACGTCGTCGCTGACGCACATCGCGTCAAGCCGACCGCGGCGCCCAACGACATCCTCCTCCTCCTGCTCCTCTGATGATCTGGACTTGCAAGACGGTGATGACGAGTCGGGGGATTTCGGGCCAGAGGAAGAGGAGGGGAAGAAACATCTGTGTCCCACGTGCGGCAAGCGGTTCAACCGGCCCAGCAGCCTGCGAATCCACGTTAACACGCACACCGGCGCGACGCGTAAGTGTTCTTCCTTCGGATCTCCAGAGCCGGATGCTGATTATCGGTCCTCTCCAGCATTCCGCTGCCCATACCCTAATTGCGGACGCGCTTTCAACGTGAACTCGAACATGCGTCGGCATTTTAGAAATCACGGCGCGCCTCCGCCGCCGACTCCCTTGAGCCCAGTTGACGGCGCTCGTGCGCATGCGGCATCTCGGCGGTCGTCTCCAACGCTATCAGTGTCTCCCCCGCCGTCGTCGGTGACGTCGTCCTGTTATTCACCTCTCACACCTGTCTCGCCGCTGTGGCGGGATCACGCTCATCCGTACCATTCTTACACTGCCAAGACGAGTCCGACGACATTCTTCGAGAGTGATGTGCGGAGCGAGAGGCGATGACAGAGAATGCCCTTGGCTAGATTCTTGTCATTCCCCCCTACATTAGCTCGTTTGTTCCCTCGATGTAAAATCCGACGATGTAATATCAGAGAAGAATGCATGTGTACGACCTATTTACTGTACGCCACTCGCCAGACAAACTCTTAGCGACCGACAACGACGGGATGTCCCTCAAGATTGTGTTCTGTGTCGATGAATCCTGGTTAATTCCTGGATAATTTAATCTGGATTTCTTGACCTACTCCTTGCAATCCTTTCTCCTTCCCGTGATCCATACAATTCCAGTGAACAGTTTGGACAAAATTCACCATTGCGGATTCTTTTCTGGGACGGATTATGGGCAGAACCTCGGGATTTGATGTCCCGGATAATTAAGCCACGTTTTCGTTTTTTGCAACGATGACAAAAGATGGTCTGCCCGCGACCATGACGGTGATTAAAAGCTCACTCTGAGCTTATGTTGAGCACACTGAGTTTCTGCCGACCGGAGTCAAATCCAACTGGATCCGGGCCCCAGTACTGATGACTGTGTGCACCAATAAGAAAGCTCGAAATCCGCAACCCCGGTGAATTATTCGTAATTAGCTCAAGCTTCATGATTCACAGGGACCCAGCTGCTGGATTCATCCCTTCGTGGGTTCCAGCACCGGCAGATCGACACAAGATCCTCGGCGATCCTCAAGTAGGGCTGTCCGATGACCGTATTGAGACCCGGTGCGTCTTCAGCTATTCTCACGGCATGTGATTCGATTCCAGCCGCAGAGACGAATAGACCCAGCTGACAGACAAGCTGCTGGGCTGAATCCAGCACTCATCCTGTCAGCGAACGATCGCACCTGATTAGTCGCCGGACGATGCGGATCCGGGATCTCCGGTGAAGCTTGACCTTGAGACAAATCCAGCTCGTGATTATGTAAAGAAGATGAGTCCAGCATCACTTGATCCTTGGCGCCGGAATATCTGAGGTGCTAGTCCTTGCACGACCAGGCGCCTAGTGTCCGGTCGATGGCAGACGGCTTGGGAGACGTGATTCAGATCCACACGCCGCTGATTATTTTCTTTAGAAAATGCCGCCAGGCCAGGGCGTATTTAAAACGGAGGCAATCAGGGACCGAGTCCACGAACCCATGGGATCCGAGGCGAGCAGGTCGGGAAAACTAGCCACGAACCACTTCTTATAGAAGACTCCCCGGTCACTTAACCGGCGGTCAACCTTAGCTCTCGCGTAAGAACTTACCGTGGAATCTCATGCGTTCGTCACGAGAGAGGAGGTAACGCGATCGGATTTCAATCGAGCACGGTACTCATCTTGTGTCGTGTGACTCCTGGAGGAGCTCGGGGACTGCCCGACCAGGCGCTAGAAGTTGCTTCTGACCGGGAGAGACCTGGGAAAACGCCGAGAATGCATCGTCGAGGATTGGTGAGCTGTTGATCTGGTCGGCGATTTGAGTGACGTATGTGAGTTCGGCAGGCCCATTGATGTCATCTCCAGGGCCTGTTGGGTGGTAAATGCTGCAGATTTGGGGGAGTGGGGATGAGAGCGCGATCAAGATTGTTCAATCGAGGCAGATATTTCCTTGGAGTTGATTGGCTGGCTCTTGCCCTACGAGGTCTGGTACAATGAGGACTGCCCGATTCTTGGGTCGATCATCCATCCCTCCATTCATCTCCCCTATCGACTAATTTAAAAGGTGATGGACGCCGATTCCCATCCTGGCATCTTTGAGCCGTGGGCTGAGGGCTTGTTGCCTGTTTCGAGAGATCTCACACTTACTCAAAGACAGCCGTATCGTTGTTACTTGCTATGGGTGGAAAACGCGCTCCAATGCGGCCCGCTTTGCCTCGCTTCTTGACCCGCTCTAGCCATTTTTGATTTTGCTCGATTTGTCAGCACCCTAGAAACGCTAGTCGATCGGCTTGTCCAAGGCTGAGGGAGATCAGTCTTTGATCACCGGATTCACGCTGTGAAAATCGAGTAGTCCCTTCGGTACTTATAAGAACACTTGAATGCGAGTGTCTCAGTCTCAAAAGCTATGTCTCGTGGCGTCCTCAATGTCTGTTTCCAGACGAGAAGACACACATTGCGGGCTCGAACACCCCCAAAAGTAATTCAACAAAAGCGAGATGTCTACATAGGACATCGACCTCAAATTGATACTGTAACTTTCCTGAAATCCGAGACACTAGTGGATAACGAGGGCCCAGGGTGAAATGGGATCAAATATGTGGGTGATCAAACTCTAGCAGATGTCTGAACAAGAAATGAGGTCGAGAAGATGAGGCTCATATGCGCCATGTTGATACTAGCTATACATCATGCACCAGATACTCATCCCTCTGTTCGCGTCAACGATTTGTTTTCCAACCCGGGAGAACAGATCTCCCCGAATGGGCGATGTGAGGATCGGCGTCAAAAAGGGCTTGATAGAGGCACCAATGCGACGTGTTGCAAAAACTCATCGTCGGGCATCCAGTCCTGGACACATTATTAGCCGCTCTGATGGATTCTCTTCCTCTCTTCCATGGGCTAAAATCACCTTCATCATACGCCTATCAGTGGGATGGATGGCCAAGCACCTCGCTATATGGGATCTTTGCAATAACCATGCCCGAGGTTGCAATTTTAAATTAACAAATTCCTCCTTCAGATCCGAGAGTATCGTCCACAAACTCGCTCGCCAGTTTCTCCATAAAATCTGCCAGATGAGTCAGCTTGTCAAACAGAGACTTTGGGGTGGGACTGCAGCCCTGCGTCGCCAATATTTTAACATCTGACTTTATGGTCTCTATCTCCCAACAATCATCTTGATCCCCCGTCCTTGATTTATTCTTCTATAGCAAGGCTATCACCCTCCTTGCCTCTGTATTGGAAGTTTACAGGTCCTTGCCGATTCTAATCGCTCCGGTGCGTGCTTTCGGAACGTATGAGAACCCATGCACCCAGCCTTCCGTTTGGCTAAATTGTTCCTTCGTCATCAGTTTCTTACTTCGCAAGGGCCTGGGCCACTATCAGTGCCCGAGCGCGAGAAATTACGAAATTTCGGGCCACAAGCGGATTTCCGGGGACTTGATCTCCAGTGCAACGCATTCGACATTCGAAGCCAAAAAACGTATTCTCGTTCGTTCATCCTTCATATCGCCCGAATACGCGCTTCGGTAGCGTTCGAATGCTATCGCATCTCCCACATGTGTGTTCCCTGTCCTCTCAGGCTTCAATTTTTTCGGTTCCTGTGCTGAACGCTCATTATCGTCCGTGTGGAGAAGTTCGGCCTGACAGTGACTGCAACCTGCTGCGCATGACGGCATGAGAATCCACATCCGTCGCCATAGATACTTTTCTTCGCAACCCATTTGTGCTGAATCAATGCTTATGCGAGCCATCCGGCACAGGTCGGGCGGTGGCATACACGAGGTGGCCGCTTCGCCGACACGTCAACTGACAAAATCAAACTCAAAGTGGTCTTTAGTTCTGGTGATCGCTACGGTCCTAGCAGTAGTACGAGTACGCTTGGTTAGGTATCCTTTGGTGATCGTGTAGCTCGCACGGGGGTTTCTGTGAGCGGGAGTGAGCTAACAAGCAGTCTCTGTCTCGGGGCGAGCGCGGTGATTCCGATTTCGAACAGGCCCGTAATTTCAACTCCTCGGTTAGGGCTAGCGGCGGTGAAATTTTGAGCCTCAAGAGATCTGATTATTTGAGGTTGTCTGGAGCGATTTCCATTCGACTAACACTTCGTATTTCAAGCTTCTTGAAAGCGTTGCTTTTGCGTCCAAGCCCATCATCGTAATCTTGGGATCGGATTTTCCTATGAGCAGCTTATGAACCTTTCATTGTTGACTAATCTGCGCCCTTATTGCCGCAGCGTTTGGAAGGGTCTTCAGTTTAGAGCCGTACATACAGATCCAACCTCAAGCAAATAGAATGAGAAAAAATCGAAAAAAATTGGGACGGGTGTCAAGTAGGTAGAGCTCATGTTTGTTTCCTTTGCGCTGGGAGCTGGAAAATGGGAACTCAGCACAGCCAATTATCATGCGAAGATTGCACTGCCTTTTTGATGGCTGATCATTGAAACGATTTTTGGTCGGAACCGCATCCCTGTCATAGTCATACATTGAATCGACCAGTCACCACTCCCCAGCCTAACCAGACTGCCATCCACCCAAACATCGATATTCGCATTTCAGTCTTGTATCCCCTCACATCATGTCAACGGTCGTCACCCCACCCCAAGTCCAAACTCAGCATGCTGCTCGTGGAGGCAGAGGAGCAAAACGTGGCAATGGGAACCGCAATCGCGCGGGTCGCGGACGTGGAGGTGCCAACACATCCAGTGCACCCGCTGGTGCAACACCTCCGAGCGACGGGCAAGTGGATACCGCTAGCAAGCCCGCTGCAACGGCAGACGTGCAGGACGACGACGAGATCTGCTTCATCTGCGCAGATCCCGTGAAATATTGGGCTGTATCGAACTGCAATCATCGCACATGCCACGTGTGCTCTCTGCGGCTGCGTGCCTTGTACAAGAAGAATGAGTGCACGTTTTGTAAGGTGCGTTTCCATATCTTTGCCCTCATCACGCTCCATCCAATCTCCGTGTAGGAGCCACAACCGTCTATCGTCTACACGACATCTCCCGACGCTTCTTACGGCTCCTTTGAATTGGAGAACATGATGTTCAAAGACGCGAAGCTCGCGATCTACTTTGAGACACAGGAGATGATGGAGGAAACGCTGCTGCTCCTCAGATTCAATTGCCCAGACACCGACTGTGACTTCATTGGAAACAGCTGGAGTGACGTGAAGCTACACGTCCGAGCAACTCACGGACGACTCATGTGGTGCGTCTGTGCGTTGCCGGGTTTCAGCTCCCGATAACACTCATTCAGCGACCTTTGCATCCGACACAAGAAGGTTTTCGCACATGAACACGCTTTGTACCCACCGAACATCCTTCCGCTCCATTTGCCGTCTGCTTCCCGCCATCGGAACGGAAAGTCGAAGGACAAGGAGACCGAGAAAGATATCGAGGGCGGAATCCATCCTCTCTGCGAATTCTGCCGCGAATGTTTCTTCAGCAGCGACGAGCTGTATCCCCACATGCGCGAGACCCACGAAGAATGTTTCGTTTGTAAGCGGAATGGCGTGCGTGACCAGTAGTAAGACAAAGCTGGCTTCACTCTCGTTACTGGCACTGAGTCACCGACCAGCTTCCTCAACTACCCAGCGCTTGAAACGCATTTTGGTGATGCACACTATCCATGCACACATGCAACCTGTCAAGCTCAGAAGTTTGTCGTCTTTGGTTCAGAACTCGATCTAAAAGCCCATTCGGTCGAGGAGCACGGTGGCGAGATGGACAAAGGCGGAAGGCGGGATGCGCGGAGGGTGGAACCTACCTGGGACGGGGTGGCTGGAGGTGGTCGACATGGTCACGGCAGGAATAGAGAACATGCAAGAGATCCACCACCTGCTGCACCACCACAGAGACCTCCAGGAGCGGGTCGACGTAGAGAGGGTTTCGGTGCTACTCTTACCGTCGAGGGGGAGAGTACGCCTGCTCCGAGTCCGACCCCGACGCCACCACCGCCTTCCCGAAGTGACGTGGATCCCGCTACTGCGGAGTACGTTTCCTCTCTTCATAGGAGAGAATGCACTCACACCCTCCGTCAGACGTCATGCCTCTTTCCTGGCGCGCATGGCTCAGTTTGCACCGAATGCGACTACTGCTGTTCCCGCTGCTCGCGCGGCCATCCGGTCTTTCCGTGCCAATGAATCGTCCGCGAGAGATCTTATCTCGACTTTTTGGAGCATCCTCGACGCAAAACGAGAAGCAACCACTAGTGTTGTGAATGGGCTGGTGGACCTACTAGACGATGACGAGCAGAGGGAAGCGGTGCTGGCTGCGTGGCGGGCGTTTGACATCGAGGTGTGTGACCACGACCCATAAGTACATATTGGTGACTCTGATTCTTCGGCCAGCAACGTCAACAGTTTCCTGACTTGGCGGTGCCCACCGCTGTCGGTTCTGGCTATTCTGGCATCGCTAGCGGGCGAGTTTTGAATGCGAAACATGCAACCGCTGGCCGAACGGGAAGATCCCAAGTCTGGGACCGCGTTGCTCAGGCTGCAGGCTCGTCGTCCTCTGCGAACACGAAATCTTCTGCGCCGCCTTTCCCGGTGCTCGGTGCTGGGCCTGCCCGTCGTTTCGTCCCTGGAGCTGCTAGTCGCTCGACGCCTTGGTCAACCGGCGGTCAATCGGTCCCTACGGGATATGCAGCATCGTCATCCTTTGTGCCCCTCACTATGCAGGCCCCAGCGCCGACAATCGCGCCGTTCTCTCGCACCATGAATACCGGCAAGTCTGGCCCGACACCAAAACTATCTAACGCGCTGTTTCCTGAGTTGCCACCGAGCGCCGGTGCACGCCAGAAAGTCAGCGTTCGGGGCAATCAGTCACTGAAGAACATTGCCGGAGGAAGCAGTGCGCCGGCTGCTTCTGTATGGGGAGCGGGCGTTACTGCCGAGGAAACGGCATTCGCAAGTACGGAAGTTCCTGGGTCGGAGGGAAGCGTGAACGGGAATGCAAAGAAGAAGGGTAAGGGTAAGGGTAAGCAGACGCTGTTCACGCTCGGTTCGTTTCCGTCGTGATAAGCGGGTCACGAGTCACCTGATTCACATTAACCGACGACTGGATCCCGGCATAAGGCCCCACTCTACGCACCTTGCTCGCATTGGGCACACATTCACAAGCTCACCGATGTACTCTACCCATTGAGCAGTGTACACGTTGAAGCATTAGAACACGAAAACCATTGCAAGGAAACGAGACTGATAACAGAGTCCGAGGTGGGCGTCGCCGGCGGGAGGGTTCTTTCGTGAAAGCTGAGGTGATCAAGTGCGATGATGTCCTCCGTCAGAAGCTGGTTCGTACAGGTTATTAATATTCTCCTCGAGACGAAACACAGGTCCAGGTATCTGTTTTGAGAAGGGTGTTGCGATACGGACTCGGGTCCGATAGGCTGATGCCTACACAGGTCGGTGCTGACAAGAGGGTGTCGTTTAGAACGTGGCCCGGGGGAAGCCGGTCACTACGCACAGCGATGGGCTCACCGTAGATCCTCCTCTGCCTCCAGAAGAACTAGATCGAAGCAGCGACTATCAGATGAGCGATTCTTGAACTTTTCACTCCTATAGTGGACGATGCAGTGTTCTGTCGCAAAATACATCGAATGGGCAAGGAGAATGTTTCTCGTGAGTTTCTTAGACATCGTCTCTGCGAAAGACCCACAGCACGGGCGGAGGCCTTGTGAAGCCCGAACGTTCAGTATTGACATGTTCCATCTTTAGTGATTCAAAATCGCGTTCGATAATGATGACAGGAGATCTGTGCGATTCAAAATCATGAGCGACCAGCGTAGGGATCATCTGGGTGTCTAGCTCTGGCAGGATATGGAGCTGCTCACTAACCCTGTGAGTGAAATGAACCTGTATTCGAGTTGTCTCCAAACGATACATATCCCACGGCTCACTCGCACTCGATGGAAATTCTAAATTTACCCGAGTCCGCAGTCCGTTTTCCCGGGAACATCGCTGGACGACAGATCAACAAGCGGCCGAGGGTGTTGCCGTTGCTCCTGACTGATAAACGGTGAGCTCTGACTGGCAAGTTCAGATGGCCGGGTGTCAGTCGGAACCTTGGGCTTCCTGTCAGTGTTAGGCTACGCGACAATTTACATAGCACCCTGTGTCACCAGGAAAAATGCAGAACGTACAATCAAGTCAGCGCTAAGTACACGGAATGCATGCGATGGGTCGGGCGTGATGGCATCAATCTGATCACGCACGCCGATCCAAAATAAATGCCGATCACACGCACTGACCTCCGCCCATATGTTCTCGACTCGACAATGGTCTCCACGCACCAAATCGCTGGAAGGGCACCAGCTGCAGTCCCTGAGCCTATGTCATTTCGCGACTAGACCTGAAGTTTATCCTGACCTCAAGCTCATGCAGCAAGCCAATCTCGGTCACTGGGATGACGGGTTTGGAAGGCCATCATGACCGAGATCTTCCATCCTTGGAAACGATTGCCTGGACCGGTCCATGAATCGCTAGTCTATTTGAATGCTGGAGGCAAGTCTCCAAGCCGTGCGTGCCGCCCTTCTTCCTTCCCTTCTTGCTAGCCATTCATTCTTCATTCTCTTTGTCTCCGCAGGCCGGTTTCCCTCCTCTCATTGACGAAGCCCTGCTGCCTCAATCTTCTCGTACTCGAAAGCTACTTGTAATCGCATCCGCACACACACGCCTACCATGGATCCCTCCCCACCTGGCGCGAGCTATCTGCAGCGCAACAAGACCGAGCGTGGTCGGTTGCAGGGTCTGCAGCAGATCGACTCGTCCTCGGCAAGACCAGCCGTGCAGCCCAACGCAGTATCGACTTGGAGTGTGTGGCTCATCAACGAGGGACACCACAAGATCTTCTTCGCCGTCTTCATTGTGCTGCATCTGGTCGCGCTCATCCTGGCGTCGATCCACTACAGCTTGAAAGACAACCTTTTCGGCGCGCGGGCTGAGTTCGGACCCACCTTCGGTGCGGGTCTCTCTCCGCAGTTATCTTTCCTTGTGTACTGATACCAGTCAGTCATTGCTCGTGCGGCTGCCGTGCTCCTACACATCGACGTCATCTTCATTCTCCTCCCAATCTGCCGCAACTTTGTCTCCGTGCTCCGCCGGACGCCGCTGGGAACAGTGATACCGTTCGACGAAAACCTGACACTCCACAAGGCGACGGGCTGGTCCATATTCATCTGGTCGCTAGTACACACACTCGCACACATCGTCAATCTTTACCGGCTCACGAGAGCTGACACCTCCCTCAAGACGATCGGTGCGCGCGTCGCTTTCTTCCTGTATGCCAATGTCATCATCGGGCCTCTCTGGACGGGCTGGCTGATGTGGGTATGCTTGGGTGTGATGGTGTGGTATGCAATGGAGAAACGGCGACGTCAGGCGAACGGCGGATTCGAAAAGTTCTGGTACACGCACCATCTCTTCATTCCTTTCTTCCTGCTGTGGCAATTCCACGGCATGTTCTGCATGATCAAACCTGACCGCCCGCCGTACTGCTCGTTCAATACAATCGGTGTCTTTTGGGTGCGTGTGTCTGTGTTTGGGGACTCGACTCGAAAAGCTCACCTTTACCTCAGCGGTACTGGATCGTCGGGGGTCTGATCTGGATCTACGAGCGTGTGCTGCGTGAAGTGCGTTCGCGACATTCGACGCACCTGTCCAAGATTATCCAGCACCCGTCCAATGTCATGGAGCTGCAAATCAAGAAGGAGAAGACCACAACACGGGCGGGCCAATACATCTTCATCAACTGCCCTGAGGTCTCGTACTGGCAGTGGCACCCCTTCACGCTCACTAGGTGTGCTGCGTCTGGCTAATACTCGAGTCGTTTGCTTACAACCGCCCAGCGCTCCCCAGGAAGATTACATCTCCGTGCACGTCCGTGTGGAAGGCGACTGGACAACTGCCATGGCAGAGGCCGTCGGTTGTGATTTCCCGAAGAAAGGAGCCAAAGGCGCGTCCGAAAGCAAGGTTGTGCCGCCTCCGATGGGTCGCGCGTTGCCACGAGTGATGGTCGACGGACCGTTTGGCACATGTTCGGAGGAATTCTTGAACTATGAGACCGTTCTGCTCGTCGGTGCAGGTATTGGTGTCACACCCTTTGCTTCGTTCGTTGTCAGATTTCCGTGGTTCTTCCTCAATGCTTACGGTTTTCAGCATTCTAAAAGCGATTTGGTACCGAATGAACAGCATCGGCGGTGCTAAGCCCACACGATTGTCCAAAGTGTACTTCACTTGGGTCATCCGCGACTTTGGCACAGCGGAGTGGTTCCACTCGCTGCTACAAGCCATCGAGACGCAGGACACCCAGAACCGGATCGAGATTAACATCTACCTTACCCAGAAGATCAAGGAGGATGACATGAACAACATCATCGTACGTTCGCTTGTCTGCTCTTTTCGATGCCACCTTCATCGAAACCGTAGGTGCACGATGTGGGTGCCGAGAAGGACGCAATCACCTCTCTCCGTGCGCCGACGCACTTCGGGCGACCGAACTGGGACAAGATCTTTTCGTCTATCAGCCAGAAACACCCAGAGTCCGACGTTGGGGTGTTCTTCTGCGGCCCGGTAGCTATCGCCAACACCCTCGGCGAGAAATGCAACGCATACAGCAGGGACGAGGGAACGCGTTTCTTCTTCGGCAAGGGTCAGTGGCTCGCTTTGTTTCCTCCCAGGTCTTTGCTGATTGTCTCGACGCGAACAGAGAACTTCTAGATGTTTTGATCTGCGCTCGTGTACTTCTAATTGTAGCTAATTCCCAGGTCATCCATTCTTACATATCAGTGGTGGCAATCTCGTCGTTATTTGCGGAGAGAATCCGTGTAGGCATGGTATCATGTATATATATCCACTCCACTTTCTCGCAACGCTTCGGTGGAGACAGTTGCCCACCATTTTCGGTCTGTACCGGTTGCTGTCCAATGCAGCCCGTAGGCATGCACTTCTGCGCGTGTCACCAAGAGATAGAGCGATCCCTGCCTGTGAATCCGGCACTCTGCCAAGTCTGACAGCGCCCCGTTTCGTATCGAGCAGGCTGACATAGGTTACACGGCTGTAGTTGCTGTGAACCAGCATGCATTCGCAGTGTGCTAGCCGACAAGCCGGACAGACGGGGACGAAAACGTTTCCCTGAATCGTTCCCTTTGACTATAGTGCGCGCAGTAGCTTGCAGGCTAACGCAACGTCGAAGAGCTCAACCTTGCCAGACCTTGAAAGGTTTTGGTGCGGCCGGTGTCCATGGGGCCCAGTCCGGTAAACTGATCGATACGGATTAATAGAGGTTGTAAGATACTTGTCTGCAGCTTCATATCCTGTAGGTGGGTCTCAATCCCATACTAAGCGCCCCCCAGAATCCACACTTGCTGCCATACCCCCACTCAGCTTGCTCTTATTTCCATTCGTGCCTTTGCCATACACTAGAACATGCGTGTCAGTGAAGCAACGAGAGATCGAATAACAGCACCATACGCTCTTTCATCCGCTCCTGCTCAAGACCTCGCCGATGAGCAGCCAGAGCTCGCAGCCTGTCGTCCTCCGCAGCGGCTTTAGCAGCTTTCTGCGCTGCGCCGCGTTTTGCGTTCTTCTTCGACTGAGAACCAGCACCTGCAGCCCCGGCGGAAAAGCTGCTGCTCGATTTGGTCCCAGAGAACGAGCTGGAGGAGGTAGCGGCTGGCTTGCTGGAGCGGGACTTGACGGGGACGAATCCCCATTCGCCTTCTTCGTCTTCACGCGAGTCCAGACCACTCGCGGAGGCTTCTAGATCGGCAGTCGCTGCAGCGATGGCGGCGGCATTCTCGTTGCCATCTTCATCGACTTCAGCGTCATCCTCCGTTGAGTCGGCGTCCGGGGTAAGCGCTGGAACCACTCTCATGACGCGCGCAAGACCGGGGTTCGACGGGAGCATGCTGCGTTGACAATGAGCAGAAGTTGACAACTAGAAAAGCCGGTACTCACTCATCCACAGCAGTCTTGCGCGGTTTGGGAAGCAGCCGCTCAGCGAGCGGCTTCTTGGGCTTTGGGCGCATGCCAGGAAGCGGAATCTCCTCGGCTTCTTCTTCATCATCTTCTCCATCGAGCCCAGTTAAACTGCTGTCCTCCGCGACACTGCTTGTAGCCGTATCGGTGCCTCCCACGCGTGTCCACCCATCATCTGTCGTGTCTCCCGCCGCCGACAAGGTAACAGCTTTCTTCGGCACCTTCTTCTTTGATTTGGCGGCAGAGGGGGAGGGTTCAGAGGCTGGTGGAGGAGGCAGAGAGGATATGGCTGACGCAGTTGACCCAGTGGCTGCCGAAGTCGATTTCTTCCCTTTCCCCTTCTTCCGAGAGTGAGCTTTGACTCTCTCAGTCTCCTCCTCCACCTCATCCGCGACGGATGTCGTGTCGAAAGCGCCTGGGAGCAAGGACGAGGGGGACAGAGCCAACGGTGGGGCCGGAGCAGTGGGTGTGTCCATACCAGTCTGTTGCTTCTTCGCCTTCGCCTTGGATTTCGGCTTGGTCTTAGACGACGGTTCAAGGGTAGAGACAGCTGCAGTCGCGAGAGCTGGTGCACTGGGCGATTCGATTAGGACGGGCTCCGTGTTGCGCTTTTTCTTCGACTTGCTCTTCTTGCCCTCAACAACCATTTCCGACTCGTCAGAGGCGGTGGGTTTGGGTGCCGCGGACGAAGAGAACGCAGTATATCCCACCGCCGCGACCGCACCACCCAGCACAACCGTCCCTGCGGCAATGGCTTCTGGGGTGAGTGTGCTCTGTGCTGATCCCATGGTTACGACGAGCGTTAATGCAGTTGTGGTGAAATGAGTGTAATGAATAAGTAGTGTGTATCCTCTTGGATAGTCGAGGCTCAGTCAGAGGGTGTGTCGTGTGCGGTGGGAGAGCGCTTCAGCCTGTGTCGACGTGGAATTCTACCCACTGGCACGTGGCGAAGGACGCGGTCACGCGGCTAGTCTCAGCTGCCAGCTATGTCCTTTTATTCGCGTGATGGCTCTCCACGATTCCTGCTGCTCTCAAATGCCCTCCGACCACCTTTCACTCATGACCTGGACCACACCACCTACAGCCGAAAACTTCTTGAGTTCGACTCTCGATTCCGGGGATCTCGCAGAACTCGAAGCAACTTGCCGTCTAGTCTCTGCCTTGGAGGAGCTCGGATGCCACTTTCTTCATCGCCGTTTCCCTTACATGACCTTGCTTAAACACATTGCGTTCCAGTACACCACCCAGACCCCTCAAGCTGTTTGCTGAGGCTTCTCACGGCGCGAAATCTCGACATCCCCTGCGTAGGATTGTGGTCGAGCGGAGAGGCATCTGGTCTCCGACTCCTTCCACGGATCTCAGCCCCTGCCATCCTGAGTAGGACTTGTCAATCCATCCATTGTGCGCCCATTCCGTCACGCTTGGACACGATTCCAGCAGTTGTCAAAACGCTGCCAGAATTACACTGTGTGTGATCTGGCCTGCTGGTCACTGTTACGATTTCACCATCTCTTGAGGAAATTATGACTATGATAACGTTGTTTCTGCTCCTCATGTATATATATTCAATTTGAAATGGCCTTCATGGTGTCTTCCGCCTCTCGACCCGACTACTGTGTATTTCATTACTGATGGAATCGAGAAGCGGACGGAGATGACTTGAAGCTCAAGTTACTGGAAAGCTACCTAGCCGTCTCTGGGTTGTGAGAAAAGATGGTTGTCGACATCGAAAACAGTATATTCAATTCGTCGATTCCGTTGACGCGTCAGTCGACGCGCGATGGGCCCAGGATCAGGGGGTGACATAAGCACACAATTGCTGGCTCAATCCTCCCTTTCCAGCACACGTTTTCGGCCTTCACCTTGTCGAGAAGTTTTCGCTTGCCCTGACTCCTTATGTCGCTCGAATTCTCGACGTTCTTGACCCAAATCAATGACGCACTGAACAACGAGAATGGACCCAATCTGGCCTACCTACTCCACCCGGGAAGTCCACATGGCAAGGACCTCGTGAAAATCTTCAGATCGCCCAGTGTGCGTATTTTACTTTCCTGGTGAGCAAAATTGAGCCGTTTGCGATGCCCAGGCCGCATCGCTTTCACATTACAAGGGGAGCATCGTCAGTCCCTGGGACGACATCGCCATTCAATATGTCCTGACCTGCTCGCACATCGCGCGAGACAGAAGAGTTGACGCGTTCAAGGAGCATTCCCAGCTCGTCTCGTGAGTGTCAACCTAACGTGGGCGATGGTTTCCCTCATCTCGCGGTCGTCAGCCACTTTTTCCGATTCTTCACAGAAAACCGCGGATGGACACTTCCGGCCTTGTTCTCGGTTCTTCGCGACGTCCGAGATATCGCTTACGAGGTATGCATGAAAACAAGCTTCCTCGTTGCGCCACGCTGGATCTCGTAGGCAGACTGGCATGCGAGAGTGCATAACCAGAACGGCGAATGTTTGGAAGAAGCCGCTCGAACGGTAGCAAAGGCGTTCTCGAACTGCATGGTGGACAGGTGTGTAGCATGGCTGCGCCTGTGGCTTTGCAGGTACACTTACAGTTAGGACAGGGTGTCGCCTCCCGAAGAATCCAGGAAATGGGGCGTTTACTATGTGGCTGGGCTCGCGATGAAATGTTACTTCAGGGTATGTCTTGCGTCGGATCGGCTGCTCACGCCGCTGACTTTCGGAAGATCAAACATATCTCGCTGACGAAAAATGTCATCAAAGCACTCAACAACACGCCCGACATCCCTCCGTTGCAGAGGTATCCACGGTCGCATCAAGTGACATATCGATACTATCTAGGCATGCTCGGCTTCTTAAATGAGGAATACGTGGAAGCAGAGAGAGAGTTGACCTTTGCATTCTACAATTGTGTCGTCGAGGCTCAGGAGAATCAGACGCGAGTAAACTTTTATCTGCCTATTGATCCTCGCCTGCTAAGCTTAGAACAGGCGAATCCTGGCATACCTCATTCCTCTTCGGATTCTTCGCGGGCACTTGCCATCGGACGTGCTCTTTCAAAGGTTCCCGATTCTTGCCGACATCTTTTCGCCATTCATATCAGCAATCCGCGCGTCAGACATCTCAGCATTTGATCGTGCAATTGAGCTACGAAAGACTCGTCTGATTGAGCTGAACTTGCTCCTTGCACTGGAAAGAGCGCGGGAGTTATGTGTCAGAGGGCTGTTTCGCAAAGCGTAGGTCTTCTCTCTTTCAACGCTCACAGCTAGCTAATGGCTAATCAGATGGATTATATCGGAAAAGACTACGCGGATGCCTATCGCACTGTTCCACTCGGCATTGGAGGTCTCCGGAATCACGGTGGGCGTTGAGGAAGCAGAGTGCTTGGTTGCAAACATGATCTACAAAGGGTACATGAGGGGGTACATCAGTCACGCGAAGCAAATGGTAGTTTTGGCTGCTGCCAACGCTTTCCCCTCTGTCGCAGAGCGTCTTTACCCCTACAATCCATTATGACTTGCAAGCCCTCATACCACGGGTTATCTGACCGTGACTTTGATGCTCTCCACGTCGTTGGCCCAGCTAGGATACTATTTTGCGCTTGCTTGGATGTTTCAGACAGACGCCGTGATTCTGAGGGTCCCCTCGTTGTCACACCCTCCTGGATGCTATCTCTCCAATCATTCAATACCCTGTGCTACATAGCCGCCAGTACCGCTCAAACATGCGTTCGTCCTGTTCTCGAAATTTGAACGAACGGCCTCATCCATGCAGCGCATCTTGCTATCTGCAGCATCACGCAAACCGCGCTCACCTCTTCATTGACTGATCACACATACACCCCCAACAAGCAGCTTTCAACGACCGACTCCCGGAGACCGACGAACGAAACCAGGGAGATGGATCCCAGAGGCGCGAGGGCAGGGGAGTCGGATGGACAAGCGAGCGGAGCGCAGGGACAATGAGACTCAAACATGCGCTCGACGTGCGCCCCGAAATTGGACGTTCGGCCTCACCTCACGCAACACACCACACCTTTCGCGGCATCTTCCTCCGGGACTTGTGTCAGATATACACTTGTACGTGTTAGCTCCAACGTTGTCACGTCTCTGAGCTCCAACCGCTGTCGCTGTGGGCGGGGCGACAGAGATCCAGATCATTACCGGCACCCAGTTGATCGCCATCCTCGGCGGCGGCGCTGGTTATCGGTTATCGACGAATCCACATATCGTAGAGGTCGTTGAGCCGGGTGAGCGGACGTCCGCCTCTAGAGTCCTCTGGGATGGCGATGTTCGGTGTGGCTATAGGTGCGCGGGATTCATCATGCTCTCATCCATCTCATTCTCCTGGTGCCCTTCCCCACAGGCTACATCGACGGCGGGGTGGCCTGGGCGTTAGTCAAATCCAAGACCCCGCTCCAGATAACTTTCTGTTTACTCATTCTATCCACCCTCCTCACTGCCTTCCTCCTGCCGTACATACCACCCGGCGGCTTCCCCTTGCGCAGTGGCACAGCATCGAACCCTGTTTTTCCCGATTGCGATGTCGAAACGACCTCTTTCTTTTCGTTCCTGCGCCCACTGGGGATCTTCTGGCCTGCCAAGTATGCGGATGGAAGCGAGCGATTCTGGGGCGTGTCTCTCTTGGTCTTTGGTGATTTCTCTTCTGTGATGTCGGTGGGATACGCGGCAAGTACTGTCCCATTCTCGATGTAGTGCCGCCTTTAACTTCTCACCAGCCTCTCATGCTGCAACTAACCGCGACCAACAAGTACGGCTTCAAGCTTGTCGACAAGGGCTTACTGCGCGCTGTTCTCTTCTGTTTTCCTCTGCTCTGGTGAATCCACTGACTCTCCATACTAGAATGTCGGGCAACTCACTCTCTTGTGTCCAGTGTCTGCAGTGCTCCCACACTCCACTCTTTCGCCCAGTGCCCGCAAGCCCAGACCCTGGTCCCAACAACGCATACCGACCTGTGGACGACACCCACCGCACTGCATCGCACCGACGCGTTCCGACTGCGAGCCGTTGAAGGACTGGGTGCGGCCGTGCGGATTCCGACGGAGACATTCGACGCGGTAGGTCCAGTGGTCGAGGATCCAAGATGGTTGTCTCGTGCGCCTATTTCGGGCTATCTCGAAGCGAAGTACCCATAGACGTGCGTGTCGTCGGAATCTGATCTGAAGAGTTTGGGCTGACGCAGATCTCTGCAGACACGCGACACTCTCACTGCAGCGAGTGAATACTTATGGATTGGTGTACACCTGGAAGGATTCGGACCCGAGCTTGAAGCTGTTGCTGCCGATGGGACCTTATGGTGCGTGGAAGCAGAGAGAAGGCTCTCGATTGTTAACCGCTTTCTGAACTATCTAGACTTTGTCCCAGTTGCTCCATTCAGTGTCAATCAGTGGACGCACCCAGGATACTGAGGCTTCTTCGACGGTGTATCTGTCTAGGGCAGGGGTAGCTCGGACGACAAGAGCAGCGTCATCGGCATCATGTGAGTGCGATCCCTCCACTCAGTTTCCGCTGTTCATCCGCTGTAGGACCAACATAGAGAACTTGCTTGAGCATGGGTTCGTGCCTAGACGTTCGATCGTGCTCTCGTTTGGCTTTGACGAGGAGGCCGGCGGTAACTGAATCGATGCACCAGCCGGCTTCAGCGATCAGTATGGTGCCATATTCGCTGTTTCTGGGGTTGCCGAGAAGGGCTCTATTACTGTTGAATGGGAAGTGAAAACCCCTGACGGTCATTCGAGCATGCCACCTGAACACACGAGCATCGGCGTCCTCGCTGCGCTCATTGTCGAATTGGAAAAGAATCCACCTCCGGCCAAGTTCGAGACGGACAACACGTTCTTCGAGATGACGGCGTGCTATGCTTTCCACGGACTCGACATTAACTTTGACTTCCGAGCAGCAATATTGGCGTCGTCCGACAATGAGTCCACCCGTGCAGAAGCCGAACGAATCCTGTACAGGAAGAACACCTTCCGGTCACTATTTGTCCTGTCCCGGGTGCGTGCTCGGCACACCCCTACTCATCTGTTCATCCGAATCGAGTCTTGCAGGCGGTCGCCTCAACAGACGACATCATGACGGTCAAGCTCGCCAAAGGAACGCGCGAACACCCGCATGACAAGCTCATCTTCACCTTTCGGCGCCAACCCCTGGTTAGGGTTAGGGTTAGGGTTAGGGTTAGGGTTAGGGTTAGGGTTAGGGTTAGGGTTAGGGTTAGGGTTAGGGTTAGGG